CGGAATCGAACCTGGGACCTTTCAGTCCGCAGGCCCACGCTCTATCCACTGAGCCAAACCGGTTTGGCAACCTGTTTCTTTTTAAAAAGCCTCGGGTCTCAGTCCTGATGCCCAAACTGGGTGATTGCAGAAGAAACAAAGAAAGAGAAATGCAAACTCTTTTAAGATCACAGATGCAGCCCTAACCGGTTTGGCTCAGTGGATAGAGTGGCGGCCTGCAGACTGAAGGGTCCCAGGTTCGATTCTGGTCAAGGGCTTGTACCTTGGTTGTGGGCACATCCCCAGTATGGGGTGTGCAGGAGGCAGCTGATTGATGTTTCTCTCTCATCAATGTTTCTAACTCTCTCCCTTCCTCTCTGTAAAAAATCAATAAAATATATATTAAAAAGAAAGATCACAGATGCAAATGACTTAAATAGATGCATTAGCTGATCAAAAAGAGTACTGTACTGCCCTGGATGATTTGGCTCAGTAGTTAGAGCATCAGCTTGTGGACCGAAGGGTTTCGGGGATGATTTTGGTTAAGGGCACATACCTCAGTTGCAGGCTTGATTCCTGGGCTGGTTGGGGTGTGTGTGGAAGGCAAACAATCTATGTGTCTCTCTCACATTGATGTTCCTCTTTCTTTCTTCCCCCCTCCTCCCTTCTCTCCATTTTCTCTTAAAAAATCAATAGAGCCCTGACTGGTTTGGCTCAGTGGATAGAGCGTCAGCCTGCGGACTGAAGGGTCCCAGGTTCGATTCCGGTCAAGGGCATGTACCTTAGTTGCGGGCACATCCCCAGTGGGGGGTGTGAGGGAGGCAGCTGATTGATGTTTCTCATCGATGTTTCTAACTCTCTATCCCTCTCTCTTCCTCTCTGTAAAAAAATCAATAAAATATATTTTTTAAAAAATCAATAGAAAAAATATCCTCAGGTGAGGATTAAAAAAAAGAAAAGAGTATATACTTAAAGAATAATATATCACAACCAAGATGGCTTTTCTAACATATAAGGATAGTTCAATATTGAAAAGTATATTAATATATATTAACAGATTCAAAGATAAACTTCATTCATTCAATTAGCAGATACATATGAGGCAGTGGTTGATAACGAGAGAATCCCAGCCTTCATTGCACTTTCATTCAACTGAGAAACAGAGGTAATAAACAAACAAACGAACAAATACATAACATTTATACAGATATAATTGAGACAGATATAATTGAGAAAATAAAGCTGAGTGAGGTAATACATATCAGCAGTTTCACATTGTCTGACCTAATATATAAGTGAGGATTTAGTATTTAATAAAGGTAGAATTTATTATCTGGAAGAAAAGATAATAAATGATACTGAGGCAGTTAGCTAACCCTTCGGAAAAAAGTTAGGTATTTATCTTTCACCTTTTACAAAACTACATGTCAGATAAATTAATAGCCTAACCCGTGGCTCGGCAAACTGTGGCTCGCGAGCCACATGCGGCTCTTTGGCCCCTTGAGTGTGGCTCTTCCACAAAATACCGACTTCTGCGCATGGGCCACGAAGTTTCAATCGCACTGTACATGCGCGCCCGCACCTGGTATTTTGTGGAAGAGCCACACTCAAGGGGCCAAAGAGCCGAATGTGGCTCTCGAGCCGCAGTTTGCTGACCACTGGCCTAAACCATATAGACACAAAACCATAACAGCATCAGAAAAACTATTGGAGAATATGTTTATCATTTTAAGGGAAAGGAAGCCTTCTGGGACAAAGCTAGAGCTTTGAAGAAAAAGGCAGACATGTTTCTGTATTACATAGGATACAAGTAGAAATGGTGTGTGGGAATTCCAGAAAGTGCCATTACAGGGCCTGGGGCTTCTGGTTTTCTCCTCCCTGTCCTTCTTGCTGGTTGAAATACATACATGATGGCTGGAGGTAGAATAACTGTCTCAAGATAATTTTAAAATATATTATTTTATTGATTTCAGAGAGGAAGGGAAAGGGAGAGAGAGAAAAACAATGATGAGAGGGAATCATTGATTGGCTGCCTCCTACATGTCCCCTACTGGGGATCAAGCCTGCAACTCAGGCATGTGCCCTGACCGGGAATCGAACCGTGACCTCCTGGTTCCTAGGTCGACGTTCAACCACTGAGCCACACCTGTGGGGTGTCTCAGATCTTGAATGAACTTGGGAATGGAGGCCTTGAAAAGTGGACCAATAAGACTGCAGAGTCTGAGCTTCTGACACTATGGAGGGCCGATCCAGCCTTGAACCAACTGTTATTGGAACTTTTAAAAAATATATATATTTCATTGATTTTTTACAGAGAGGAAGGGAGAGGGATAGAGAGGTAGAAACATCGATGAGAGAGAAACATCAATCAGCTGCCTCCTGCACACCTCCTACTGGGGATGTGCCCACAACCAAGGTACATGCCCTTGACCGGAATCGAACCTGGGACCTTTCAGTCCACAGGACGACGCTCTATCCACTGAGTCTAACTGGTTAGGGCTGTTATTGGAACTTTTATGTGAGCAAGAAACAAACCCTTCTCTTGTTTGAGCTGTGGTTATGCTGCGCGTTGTCATTCACTAATCCTAATTGATACACCTGCCCACTCCCAGGTGAAGGATCATGACTGGTGTACACCAGTGGTTCTCAACTCTGGTTGACTTTTAGATTCATCCAGGGAGCTTTTAAAGAACACTAGTATCTGGGCCCCACTCCAGACCAATTACATCAAAACCTCTGGTGGTAGGATCCAGACACAGGTATTTTTTAAAAGCTTCTCAGCTGGCCCGAATGTACAGCCAGGATATGAAGAATTAGTTTAAGCCAATCAGGACAAACCTCTTCCTCTCTTTCCCAGTTTTTCTTGCAGTAGGAGTGGTCATGAACCTATTTCTGGCCTGTGATACCTCAGTGGAAATCTGTTGAGACTATTTCTGGGAACACTTAGATTTCCGATAAGGAGAAGATATAGTTGGGACTGTTTGTTCTCCTCCTTCCCAGCGTTGAATGCAGAAGCAATGTCCAGAGCTGCAGCAGCCATATGGATAGTATGAGGCACCACGGATGAGGATCTCAGACAACACACTAGGCTGGCAGAGTGGAAAGGGAGAGGGCCTCCATCTCAGGGGCCTCTCCAAGCAGCTAAACGAGTCCCAAGAACTCCTTAATTTCAGAGGCCAACAACTCTTATTTGTTTAACGAGTTTTCTGATTGTTGCAGCAGAAAACATTCATAACGGAAACACACATGGGCACAGGTGCTTTGTCGGGGAGGGCACTTTCTAACATTTATCATGTGTATAAAGAATACTGTACAGGGTTGTACACAGCAATATTGTTGGTCATGACCCAAACTAGAAACCACTTAAGTATCCATCAACTTGAGAAAGGCTCAATAAATTTGGCAAATTACAGCAAAGTAAAATAATAAGTGCTCCTTCTCTAAGACATGTTATCTTAGACACTATTGAGTGAAAAAAGTAAATTATAGGACAGTAAATATATAGAATATGAAACCATTTATTCTGAAGCACACACCCATACTCTAAAAACAATATTGTATAGCCCTGGCCAGTGAGGCTCAGTTGGTTGGGCGTCATCCCATGCACCAAAAAAAGGTTACTGGTTTGATTCCCAGTCAGGGCATATGCCCGGGGTGCAAGCTCGATCCCTGGTGGGGGGCATGCAGGAGGCAGCCGATGGATGTCTCACTCTCACAGGATGTCTCTCTCTCCCTCTCCCTTCTTCTCTTTAAAAATCAATAAAAATATATTTAAAAAACCTCTTCCCTATGCATGTACACACACATAGAGAGAATATACAGTATTATTTTTAAAATCCTCACTTCAGGACCTGCTTACTGATTTTAGGGAAAGGTCTGCTCCTTAGGGACAGAGAGAGAGGCGGAGAGAAGCTCCACATTTCTGGGCGTGAAAGGGGGATTTTCTGGGTGGGGCCTTTCACGCATTTAGGGAAGATTGACAGGAACTATCTTTCTTCTGGGCATGCCCTCATCTCTAATGTCTACGCAGTGGTTCTCAACCTTCCTAATGCCGCGACCCTTTAATACAGTTCCTCATGTTGTGGTGACCCCCAACCATAAAATTATTTTCGTGGCTACTTCATAACTGTAATTTTGCTACTGTTGTGAATCGTAATGTAAATATCTGATATGCAGGATGTAATTTCATTGTTACAAATTGAACATAATTAAAGCATAGTGATTAATCACAAAAACAATATGTAATTATATGTGTGTTTTCCCGATGGTCTTAGGCGACCCCTGTGAAAGGGTTGTTCCACCCCCAAAGGGGTCGCGACCCACAGGTTGAGAACCGCTGGTCTACAGGAAAACCCACAGGGGGCGGGGTCAAAACCCAATGCAAATTCTATTGTAATTAGCCCCGGGCCCTAGAAAGGTCACACTGGCATTGAGGTCCTGACATTTTCCTCCGGGCTTGCGCAAAGAACCGCTGGCTCTGAACCTGCCTGCAGGCGGTCTGCTGGGCCGCCCTAGAGAGGGGCCCGCAGGCCATGTTGGCCCGACCCCTGCTCAGGGGGCCACATACCAGTGATGGCCGCCTGTTCTCCTTCACGGCCCCCCGGGCAGGCCTCACCCCAGCCGCGCCTAACTTCCTACCGAACAGCCACGTCCTCCGCCTGAGCCAGTCAGTGCCCTTCACCAGCCCCTTCACCCGCTGACAGCCGCAGGGGTCGCACCTCGGGACTCAATTCAGTCTTCCTTTGCTAAACATAAAGTCTGATATTATCCTTCCATGTTAGGGTGAAGTGTCAATATAAGTTAAATATAGTGGCTGGGAAAAAGGCAATACACCAAGCGGCTGTGTGCGCCGTCCGTCTCCCGGGGAGGGGGAGTAGAAGGGAACTGAAGGGAAAGAGAAGTGTGCGGGGCGCCGGCGGGAGGAAGAGCGCACCCCCCGGGTCCTGGGCCTGACCGGAAGTCAGGGTGCCGAGCCGCTCGGGCTTCCGGCGTCACTTCCCTCGCGACTTCCTGCGATGAACATGGCGGCTCTCAGCAGTGTCCGCTGGCTGACCCGAGTGAG